TCTAGGGTCTAGGGTAAGACTAGGAACATGGAGGACTAAGGGAGAATGAGGCAGGATCGTTGGAGGAGAGGAATCGAAGAAACTGGGAGGCCAGGGTTCTGGAAGTATCTACTATGTGGACGACCAAATGATCAGGAATTAAGATGAGAGAGGTGGCAGAGAGAGTGACAGTGAGCTGGGAGGATTCTCTCTCTCTTTTTTTTTTAATTATTTTTATTTTGTCAATATACAATGTAGTTGATTATTATGTCCCATCACCGAAACCTCCCTCCCTCCTCCCTCTCCCCCCTCCCACCCAAGTGTGTCCCCTCCATTTGCTTGTTGTAACAACTTCAAAAAAAAAAATAATAATTGTGGTTGTTATATCTTCCTCTCCCCTCCCCGTTTTTTTTTTTTTGTTGTTGTTGTTTGTTTTGTGTGTGTGTGTGTGAGAGTGTGTGTGTGTGTGTGTGTGTGTATGTATGTATGTGAATTGATTCATTCACCTTTAGCTCCCTCCCTCCAATAAGTGAAAACATAGGATAAACCCTTCAGCAAATAGGGCTGGGCACAGACTTCATGAATATGACCCCAAAAGCACGGGCAACCAAAGGAAAAATAAACAAATGGGACTATATCAAACTAAAAAGCTTCTGCACAGCAAAAGAAACAATTAACAGAGCTAAAAGACAACCAACAGAGTGGGAGAAAATATTTGCAAAATACACATCCGACAAAGGACTAATATCCAGAATATATAAGGAACTCAAACAACTTTACAAGAAAAAAACAAGCAACCCAATCAAAAAATGGGCAAAAGAGCTAAGCAGGCATTTCTCTAAAGAAGATATACAAAAGGCCAACAGTCATATGAAAAAATGCTCAACATCACTCAGCATCCAGGAAATGCAAATCAAAACCACACTGAGATACCATCTCACCCCAGTTAGGATGGCAAAAATCCAAAAGACACCGAAAGATAAATGCTGGCATGGCTGCAGAGAAAAAGGAACTCTCTTACATTGTTGGTGGGAATGCACAATGGTGCAACCCCTATGGAAAATGGTTTGGAATTCTCTCTTGACCGCAGTCAATGGAGATGTGGAGCTGGGGTGGGGACAGCTCTTCCCTTACCCTCACCTTGCACTTCACACTTCAGCAAAATGGAAATAGCTGTAGGTCCCAGATACTATGCTGGAACTCTCGTTTCTTGTATTCCATGTCTTTTTCTTTCTTAGTTTAATTCCTCATTTGAGTGAGCCTCATCATTTTGTTGTTTGTTTAGTTTTGCTAGGACTGGTGCAGTAGTCTCCTTGCTGGTATTCCTGACTTTTGTCTTTACTCCTTTCCACTTGATCACTGACAAACCCCATCCCTTCTCCACATTTCCTCCGGAATAACTTTTGGAACTATCAAATCTGACCTGGTCACATCCTTGCTTAAATCCTTGCAATGATTTGACATCCCTAACAATAATCAGCTAACGTTTGTTGATTACGTGCTGTGGCAGGCACTGTTTTAAGTATTTTACACATACACTTTAGTTTAATCTTCACAGGCAGTCTAAAACGTATGTTTTATCATTATCCTTATTTTATAGGTGATGAAACTGAGGCAAGAAGAGGTAACTTATCCAATGCCACATACAGCTGACATTATTGCAGTGTACAAAGCTTCTCATAATTGGTCACCCACCCTATAAAGCTTTGTTTCTTACTGTTTCCTCCCACCTTGAATGCAATGTTTCAGTAAAGCTGAATTACTTAATGGTCCCAGGATCAGTGAGACTCCCAGTAGGAAGGATACAGCCCAGAAAGAGAGTTTCATTGAAGAAAGGTAATAAATGGTGTTTTAGTCCATTTTGTGTTGCTATAACAGAATACCTGAGACTGGGTAATTTAGGAAAAGAGGTTTATTTGGCTTACGATTCTGGGACAGCTGCATCTGGCATGGGCCTCAGGCTGCTTCTACTCATGGTGGAAAGTGGCAGGCAGGCGGCAGGTACAAGCAGATCACATGGGAGAGGAAGCAAGAGAGAGATAGAAGGTGCCAGGGTCTTTTTAAGCAACGAGCTGTCGCAGGAACTAATAGAGCAAGAACTCACTCATTAATCCCCCCTCCCCCAGGGAGAGCATTCATTCATTCATGAGGGATCCACTCCCATGACTCAATCAGTTTCCAACACTGCCACATTGGAGATCAAATTTCCACATGAGTTTTGGAGGGGATAACACATCCAAACTCCATCAAATGGCCTCTTGATGAGTGGGATGCTGGCAGTGCTAAAGGAATCAACAGTGACGTCAAGGTGCCTGGACACTAGCACTGAAGGGAGACCAAGGGGCAAGGAGAGGGGATGTGCTGTCAGAACCAGTGGGGGTCAAGGCCATGGAAGAGGGTCTGTCCAAAAGGGACTGCAGGGTCATACAGCTACTGCCAAAATCACATAAATCCCCTGACCTACCTTTCCTCCAGACCTCCAATCTTCTGCTGCTGCCTCCATTGGCCAAGTCCAATGGGAAGCCAGAGAATAAGAGAGGCTGGATGATGTGGTCTATAGAGGTCAGCCCCTGGGAGCACAAAGCAGGGGGGAGATGAATGGCGAGTGAATCAGAGTGAATCAGGAGGGGCAAAGACAGTTTCTGTGCTTTGCTTGGAGTAATAAACCCCATGGCACCACCCAGGGGAAACACAAAGTCCCATCAGCCATTGCATTGGAGTGGGGTGATGTCAGTTCAGTCATATTCCAATAGAAACCAAAAGAATAACGTTGGTGACCAGTGCTGCTCTTCACTTAAAGTAACAAGAAAAAAGTAGAGAAGAAAAGGCCAATGGTGGCTGGTCACCAGACGTAAGCTGTTACTTGGGCTTCCTTCCCTGACCCTCTGGGCAGCGTTCCCATTGCTCTGGTTTGACTTACTTCTTGGGGTGGTGCAAATCTTCATTCCCGGAAGATGCAAGTTCTCAGCAGTACTATCTTTATGAGGTCACCACAGTGTCCCACTGACCATTGTTACTGGATGTGGGAGAACTATGAGGTGCCCCAGCAAGTCCTCTGGTCCAGAAATAGTCCTCCTACCCCTGTTCTGTTGCAGCAGTCAGTTTCCTCAGTAATTGGGATTAGTCAACCTGACCCATAGTGAACCCCTTTGATGCCTGTAGATTCAGCATCACAAGAAGCCCAGACTGGCCAGTAGGAGGGCTCAACTCCCAATTGAATGAAATCAAGGTGGTATTCACTCTTAAAAAATGATTAAGATGGTAAATTTTGTTATGTGTATTTTATCATGACAAAAAAAAAACGGGGGGAAAAAAAAAGAACCCACTGGCTCAAATCAAGAAGACTGACCAAGCCACATGATGGTAAGGATTCAGAGCAAATGGAAACTCACACACTGCTGGTGGAGTACAGAATGGTGCAATCCCTTTGGAAAACATCTGGGCAGTTTCTTAACATACACCCACCCTGTGACCCAGCCATTCTACTCTTAGCTCTTTACCCAAGAGAGATGAAAACAAAGAGATGTTTACAAAGACTTGTGTAAAAATGCTCATAGCATTTATATAAAAACTGGAAACAACCCTGTGGTACAGTAAGAAATACATTTTGTCTTTGTCCCAGGTTCCTGTCACAGAACCATAAAACCCTTGGGCTTTCCTTAGGAGTGCCTTTTGTTATTCACAATGATCTCCTTTCATAACACCTGAGCTTATGCTAATGAGGCGACTTAGGGTGGGGCCCTTAGAAAGCCTCAGGATGGGGCCAGTCACCAGAAAGACCAAGTAATTAGGGGATTAGAGGGTTGGAACTGTCAGCCCCACCCACCAATCTCCAAGAAAGGGGGCTGAGATCAAGCTCTGCAAAAGCTGTGAACAATGATATTTGATGAGTTTTCAGGTTGCTGAACACGTGGAGTGTTGGGAGGGTGTGTGCCCAGAGGGGACCTGGAAGCTCCTCACAACCCCCTCCCATACCTGGCCCCACGCACCTCTTCATCCGGCTGTTCATCTGTATGTATCCTTTACAATAAACTGGTAAATGTAGGTAAAGTACTTCCCTGAGTTCTGTGAGACGTCGTAGCAAACTACCCAACCCAGAAAGGGGGTATGTGGGAACCCTGATTTATAGCCAGTCGGTCAGAAGCACAGGTCATAACCTGAGACTTTTTTTTTTTCCTTTTGTCTTTTTTACTGACCGGTAATGGGATCGCAACCCTCGGTGTCGCGCCCGTACCGGCAACCTGAGACTTTTTTTTTTTCCTTTTGTCTTTCTTACTGACCGGTAATGGGATCGCAACCCTCGGTGTCGCGCCCGTACCGGGGACTGGCAACGGGATCGCAACCCTCAGTGTTGTGCCCGCACCGCGCTCAGCCAGTGAGCGGGAACCGGTCTCCACACGGGATCCGAACCCTCGGCGGGAGTGCTACCGTGCTCCCAAGCGCGCACTCTCCAGTGCGCCACCGGGCCAGCCCGACAACCTGAGACTTTTGATTAGCACCTGAAGTGGGGGTGGTCTTGTGGGACTATATCCAGGTGGCTAGTGTCAGACTGGAACCGAATCATAGGACACTCAGCTGTTGTTCAGAGAGTTTGTATGTGGGGAAAACCCCACCCACATCTGGTCCTGTGTTGTGCAAGTGTAGAGAAACAGAATGTGTTTTCCCAGCCCAGATGTCCACTGGCAGGTGAATGGACAAACCGTGGCTCACGTGGGCAATACTATTCAGCAGTAAGAAGGAATGAATTACTGATGCATGCAACAGTAACAACAGCAACAAAGAAAGGTTGTGTTTTCTGGGGAAAGTGTTCCCTCTTTTTGCACAAGGACCTCCAAACCCACCAAGCCCAAGGCTATGGAGGGGGAAACAAACATTCTGTAAGAGGGTGATATGGTGAAATAGAGAGGCCATTCCCGCCTCCACCCGAGTCCTTTTTGCTCTTCCATGCACATGAATGATTGTTTCCTGCCTTCTCCTCCCTAATCTCCAACATCTCCTCTCCAAGCTACATCTCAGAGCAATTAAACTAGAGTCTCCAGGGATACTCTGTCAATGAACAGGATCTGTATTTCTAGCTGTGGGAGAAAAGGCACCATGTGTTGGCCATTGGTTTAGGGCATCTACCACATCCTCTGGGACAGCACCCCAGCCTTGCAGGGTTCTGTCCTACAATTGGTGCCATAACTGAGCTTTCCCCAGTTATGCACTCACACAGCTGTAACTGAACGATGGGCACAGTGTAAGACTAGTGAATTCTATGGGCATGAACTCATTGTCACATGCGTTTTGCTATCATGAGTTCCTTGGTTGGAGATGATGTTGTGTGGGCTGCCATGACAACAAATAGGGCATTTTGAAAATCATCAAACAGTGGTACTGGCAGAAGCAGTGCAAGTAGGGAAAGCAAGTCTGTATCTGGAATAGAACTTCACTCATAAGAGAACAAATTGCCAGCTTCCTGCCTCCAGGTGGCTGTCTGGTCCATCCCCCCGTGGAAGGTGCAACATCAGGAATTCGGTGTTGGTCATGGCTAGTATTTAGCAGTTTAAGAACTCAATGGTGATAATATCCATATGTATTAGGGTTCTCCAGAGAGACAGAACTAATAGGATATAGATATTTGAGGGCACTTCAAAAAGTTCATGGAAAAATAGAATTAAAATGTAATATGAATCTTTCTATGAACTTTTTGAAGTACCTTCACAGATATATAAGGCGGGGAGGGATTTATTAGGGGAATTGGCTCACATGATTATGGAGGCTGAGAAGTCCCACAACAGGTCATCTGCAAGATGGAGACCTTGGGATGCCAGCAGCATGGCTCAGTCCAAGTCCAAAAGCCTCCGAACCAGGGAAGCCAGTGGTGTAGCTCTCAGTGTGAGGCTGAAGGCCTGGGAAACTGAAGAGCCACTGGTGTAAGTCCTGGAGTCCAAAAGCTGCAGGGTCTGGAGCTATGATGTCCAAGGGCAGGAGAGCGAGAATGTTTCCCAGCTCCCAGACAGAGAGGACCTATCTCTCTTTGCTCTGTCTGCTCCCCCAGCTGGCTGGATGGTGCCCTCCCACATGGACTGCAGTCCTTCCCCTCTCTGTCCCCTGACTCACACCAGTCTCCCCCAGAAACACCCACACAGACACACCCAGAAATAATCCTTTACCAGTTCTCTAGATAATCCTTAATCCAGTCAAGTTGGCACCTAGAATTAACATCACACCATGGAAGCCTTAGTGAAGGGCACCTGCTGAAGAAGCACTGGGGTGAGAGAGGAAAGAGGCTGACCTACATTCACAGGACAAACTGACCATCTCATCAGCTGTCTGCTGATAGCCTCCTCTGTCAGCGGTGCCCCTGATGAGAACTTGCATGGCACACCAGTATCTTTACATGGCACCCATTCTTTTTATTTTTTAAAAGATGACCGGTAAGGGGATCTTAACCCTTGACTTGGTGTTGTCAGCACCACGCTCACCCAGTGAGCCAACCGGCCATCCCTATATGGGATCCGAACCCGCGGCCTTGGTGTTATCAGTACCACACTCTCCCAAGTGAGCCACGGCCGGCCCTACAAATGTTTTTTCTTTAAAGTCAAAACTTATCTCACTTGGTTAGAGTACAGTGTTATAACACCAATGTCAAGGGCTCAGATCCCCACACTGGCCAGTCACCAAAAAAATCCCCCCAAAACCCCAAAAAACAAACCCATACATACATACATATATACACGTATACATACGTGTGTGTGTATATAAAACTTACAGGACAAAAGCCATACAGTTCTAAGAACCTCACAGAACCTGCAAAATCCGAGGAAAGAAGGGGCTCTACCTGCATTTGCTCCATCTGTAAACGGATTAATTCCAGCTGCTGCCGACAAGTGCTGAGTTCACAAGATTGCTCATGGGGATGCCAAGGGTCAGGACTCGGCTGCCACACCTGAGAGGGTAGAGGCTTGGAAAGACCAGGAGCAGGCTGGAGTCCCAAAGGGAAACTGCTAGGGTGTGGTCCATTCCGCTCAAATACTGCCCCACTGCCTGGTGCCTTCTTGGCCTCAGGCAACACTTTGTACAACTCCTTGTTTGTGTCAGTTCTTGGATTGTGGAAGTGGACTCGATAGTGGGGATCTGAATAAAGAGTCTCCATCATTGCCGAATGATTCAGGGTACATTCCATATTAGGAATATCAAACTTCCTCATTTCTTCCTCTCTTTCATGGCCTACTGCTGGAAACCAGGACTGCTCAATTCCATTTTCTCCAGTAGTACCACAGAGATACATAAGATCTCTAGACAGGCCTGGAGAACGTTTCATCGCACTGAGGTCTCCATTTCTTGTCATCCCCACACTTTCAGCCAACACTGACAAAGGGAGTTTGGATGAAGAAGGTCCAGCAGGTATAGAATTTGGCTTGGCAGGAGAGGTCCCTAAAGTAGAAGGCATCACATGGGCTGTTGGAATGGTTACGTGGCTTTTGATGGGCTGGAAAGAAGGGCTGCCACTTGAGCTGCAAAAATCTGCGGAGAGAATAGTCTTCCATAAGTCAAAATAGAAGGAGCAAGCTTTCTTGAGTTTGACCGCTATGCCAGATGTTCTCTGCCTGTCCTGAGACCAGAGAGAGCACTATCATCAAAAGTATCAGGCAGAAAGACATGGAAACCTAACCGGGAGATGTGTGTTCCAGGATCTCAAAAGCCATTCACAAGGTAAACCAACAAAAGGCAACAATAGCTTCAACTTTTAACTTACATTCTGTCCTTTGTACTTGAATAAAAACTCTTCGGGGCGGTCTGGTTAACTCAGTTGGTTAGAGCACGGTGTTATAACACCAAGGTTGAGGGTTTGAATCTCCGTACTGGACAGCCGCGCCCCCCCCCAAAATCTTGCCAGTCAACAAAGCTAAAAACTAAACTTAAAAAAAAAAAAAAAAATCACTTACTTAAGGGATATGGATTAGGTCCTTACTCTTCTGGAAGCTGAGCAACTCTAAGCTAGAATCCAATCTAATAAAAATATCATTTCAACAGGTTGCCAGAATCTTCTGCGTCCTCCAGAAGCTCCCCCGTGATGTTGAGCAATGAATCTAAACTATCTGAAGAATAAAGTGAACTATACAGTCCTGCTCAGTATCCAGGGCGGGGAGTATAGCATTTGAGTCAGGATTCTGTTCTCTCTCCCACACCCCAGACCTGACTGCCTGGATATGTGAAGTTATTCTTAGTAACTCTCAGGTTTCACACTAGGACAGTGAGCACTCTCGAGTGGGTACACACTGAAATCCTATATTTTATATTTTGCCTTTCATTTGCCCCCTTGTGTGTACCCAACTATGATTTTATTTTGGCAGCTAGGTGGTACGGTGATCTGAACACTTGACCTTGATGTAATAATACTGTGCTCTAACCAAACTGAGCTAACTGACCAGCCCCCAAATGTGATTTTTAACTTTTCCTTCAGACTGGATTCATATTTCCTTTGGCTCCTTCCTTGTCTTGGGAGACAACCCTCTGATTAGCCCTGCTGAAAAAGGTTCACATTTCTACCTCTTTCCAACTTTCAAGTGGTACTCTGTGGAGGACTACAGGTCACAGAGGTAATATGCCAGTGCAGTTGGCTGCAAGCAAACAATAAGACAGAAATGTGAGGTAATATACCTGTTACCTTCAGCAGGCAGAAAACCAAATAAGGAGACAAGGAATACCAATTTCTTCCCTTTTCAACTCTTACGTTCAGTATTCTTTTCCAAACCAAGCACATCTACCATAAAGAAGAGGGACTACCAATTTGTTTCTCTTTTTCCTCCACCAACCAACACAGAGAACATTCAGTTAATGAGGACAGATACTATAACCTTTCCCAGAATTATATGAGTATAGATCAGCTATCATCTTCTCATGAAGCACCTCTTTAAAACACGGGCAAGCCACCTCACACCTGTCAGAATGGCTATTATCAAAAAGATGGAAGATAAAGGTTGGCAAGGATGTGGAGAAAAGAAAACCCTAGTATAAGGTGGTGAGAATGTAAATTAATACTGCTATTATGGAAAACAGTATGGAGGTTCTCAAAAAACTAAAAATAGGGCTGGCCAGTTAGCTCAGTCAGTTAAAGCATAGTATTATAACAAACACCAAGGTCAAGAGTTCAGATCCCTGTACTGGCCAGCTGCCAAAAAAAAAAGAGAGTTCCCATATGATCTAGCAATCCCACGCTGGTTATATATCCCAAAGAGTTGAAATCAGTGTGCAGAAGAGATATCTACGTTCCCATGTTATTTGTAGCATTATTCACAATAGCCAAGTTATGTCATCAACCTAAGTGTCCATCAACCTATGGATAAAGAAAATGTGTCATATACACATAATGGAATACTATTCAACCTCAAAAAAGAAGGAAATTATGTCACTTGCAACAACATGGATGAACCTGAAGGACAATTATGTTGAGTAAAACAAGCCAGGCGCAGAGAGAACAATATCACACGTTCTTATTTATATGTGGAAGCTTAAAAAATCAAACACATAGAAGCAGAGTTACCAGATGGCAGTTACCAGAAGCTGGGCAGTGGGGGAGGGGATGCAGAGATGTTTGTCAAAGGGTACAATGTTTCAGTTACACAGGAGGAAAAAATAAATATTTGAAAGGAAAAAAATGGATAAGCCAAATTATCTCTTATAATATATGCAGAGTATCTAATTTCCTACACTTAGATGACTTGGAAATATATAAAAGGCCATACCAAAAAAACAAAAACCTGAATAATTTCTGATAACATGCATCAGCTTCTCTGGACCAAGAAAGAAGAAAAATTCTTAGTTAAAGGACAGAGTTGTTTTGACGTTCCACGTCTTACATACAGGGCAAGTCATTAAGGTTAAGGCAGACTGGTGATGATGGAAACTTCCAATACTAGTAAGAAATCTACTTGAAATCCTCCATAATAACACCACAATATCAGCTCTCACCAAGGTCCCTACTCCCATAGTTAATTATGGAGCAGAAGACAGTGAGGTTGTGGCATACGAGGGACTACCATGCTGAACTTTGTAATAGCTTCTTCCATTCTCCATCTACAGCCCCATACTCTTTCAAGATTCACTAAATTCAGTTCCGAGCCCATAACCCCCAAAATAATGCCAAAACCAAAGCCAAGAAGAAAAGCACCAACTGACCCAGGAGAATGTGGTTTTTCTAATTTTCTAGTGTTCATAGTCCATCTGTGAGTGACAGATGACCATGAAACTAGAAAATTAAAGTGAGTTTTTGTCAGTATTTCTCATTTGTCTATTGGGTTTATCTGTTTATATCAAGGAAATGGCATGATTCTGAAGGAAAAAATCTCAAGTTACACCTTAAGTCTGGTTTGTATTTTAGAATACTTTGAAGCAAAACTGCAACACTCATTTTCAAAAGGACCACTATATTCTACAATTTTCAAAGGCATTCAAAATTTAGTGTACGGGATATGTGATTTTTATTTAGAGAGATCTACAGATCCCCAAATCACTGGATTTTTGCCATTTTAAGGATATAGTTCTAAATCTTTCCTATCCCGAACCACACTCTCTTGCTCCTTCCAAAAAACAAATTTCTTTCTAGCAACCCTCCTTTCATTATAAGGGTAGATTTAGCTATTGCTATGCTAAATCTCGACCACATCGGTCTACATCCTGTACTGGTTTATTAAGTATGGTACAGTAGTTTGAATTAGGCCAGCAACTATTTCAGTCTTTAGCAAAGAGCTGAAAGCATTCTGAGCTCCACCTCTACCCTCTTCCTTGAGAATCTTCCAAGGTAAAATGCCCACTGAAGGGTGGAATCAAAAGCCAGCCTTATTCAATTTAAAGATGCAACAATGAACTACATTTTATATTAGTCACAAGGGTTCTTGTCAACTAGGCTCCAACTTAGATTCATGAACAAAATGGGCAAGACTTAAGATTAGGATAAAGATTATGGTATGCAACAAACATGGCAGAAAAAGACACTTTGGTTCCTTTAAAAAAACTTCTAGACCAATGGCTTTGGCCACTCTATTTTAAGGCTATCACAACTTAAAAAGAATGCACTGAATAGAAGTATGTACATTATTTCCCCAAAGGAATAAAAAAACACACAGTCACACACTCAATCTGTGTAACAAACAATCTGACTGAATTAAATACAGCCAGTCAATTCAATAGGCGGAAAATACAGACCATTGTTTGATTTAAAAAATACCTATTATTTAGTCAAAATGAAAAGGTCCCATGACTGTACATGTAGGCAAAACCTTAACAAGTCAAAATTAAATTGACAGTAACATTTTTGATTACACAAGTGATGGAAAGCATACTACACAGTTAGGAAACCAGAATTTGGTAACCAGCTGTGTGACGTCATACAAGTTACTTAATTAATCCCTTGGGGAATTTTTGTTATTCACCAGCAAAAAGAAGCTTGATTAAGTGACTTTTAAAGTCCAGTCTACGGGCTGGCCCGGTGGCGCACTGCTACAGTGCGCCGCTTGGGAGCGTGGCGGCGCTCCCNAAAAAAAAAAAAAAAAAAAAAAAAAAAAAAAGTCCAGTCTACCTCAAAATCTATGATTCAATTCTCAACACAAGGGTACTTCAAACAGTTCATGGAAAGTGGGCCTGCCCATGGCTCACTTGGGAGAGCGTGGTGCTGACAACACCAAGTCAAGGGTTAAGATCCTCTTACCAGTCATCTTTAAAAAAAAAAAAAAAAAAAAAGTTCGTGTAAAGATTTATATTATCTTTTAATTCTATTTTACCATGAACTTTTTACCCTCATATTTACTGACCATAGTTTCCATATACACACAGCAGTCAAACTATTAAAATTAATGCTAGGTATCTAGGAGTCAGTGATAGCAGATGTGGGTTTTTTGGGTTTTTTTCCCCTTTTCATTCCTCTTATTTTTTCTAAACATTTCTATTCCTTAAAAAAAAATTTTTTTTTGGTTGCTGGCCTGTATGGGGATCTGAACCCTTGACCTAGGTGTTATATCACTGTGTTCTAACCAAGAATAAAGGCCAGCCTCTGTTCTTTTTTTTTTTTGTCCTTTTTGAGACCAGCTGCACTGCACTCAGCCAGTGAGTGCTGTGAGCACACCGGTCATCCCTATATAGGATCCGAACCTGCGGCGGGAGCGCTGCTGCGCTCCCAGCGCTGCACTCTCCCGAGTGCGCCACGCGCTCGGCCCCTCTGTTCTTCTTTTAAAAACAATTTTATTGAGATAAAATTCACATACTATACAATTCACCCACTTGAAGTGTACAATTCAATGGTTTTCAGTATATTTAGAGTTGTGTAACCACCACTACATCAATTTTAGAATAGTTTTATCACTCCAAAAAGAAATCTCTTATCCTGTGGCAGTCACACTCCATTTCTCTCAAATTCCCCAGCCCTAGGAAACGACTAATTTATGTTCTGTCTCTGTAGATTTGCTTACTCTGGACATTTCATGTAAATGGAATCATGCAATATGTGGCCTTCTGTGTGTGGCTTTTTTTACTTAGTATAATGTTTCTAAGCTTCATCCATTTGGTAGCATGTACCATTACTTCTATTTTTTTCTTCTTTCTGAATAATATTCTACTGTATGGGGCCGACCCATGGCTTACTCAGGAAAGTGTGATGCTGATAACACCAAGGCCATGGGTTCGGATCCCATATAGGGACGGCAGGTTGGCTTACTGGGTGAACATAGTGCTGACAACACCAAGTCAACGGTTGGGATCCCCTTACTGGTCATCTTTAAAAAAAAAAAAAAAAAAAAAAATTCTACTGTACTGCATATATATACCACATTTTACTAATCTGCTCATCAGTTGTGGACATTTGGGTTGTTTCCACTTTTGGGCTATTATGAAAAATGCTAGGGCCGAGCCCATGGCGCACTCGGGAGAGTGCGGTGCTGGGAGCGCAACAGCACTCCCGCCGCGGGATCAGATCCTAGATAGGGCTGCCCG